CATAGGTGACATTTCACTAATCCTTCATTAAGATTATCTACTCACTCCCTATCCATACAACCAGACCAGAGCACACCAAAACTGTACTGAAGTCCTTATACCATGATGCATGACTCTTAACAACATGCATTATCACCATAAAGTTCATCAAAAGAATCACCATTCATATTTCACCTTTTATGCACAACATCATTCATCCTACGCAACAATTAATCAATGTTACAATATTCAACAAACAACAACGAATAGAACAAACTCAATAAATGTAACTTCATAGGCATTCATTCATGTTAATTTACCAAAACAACCACACATTATTGGATAAACACAAAGATTCACTAACCAATTATACAAGTCATCACAAACATTGCTTGATTACCTTGGAAACTTTTATGTTGGATTATTGAATGAAAAATGTGAAATCGTGATTCACCTACTTAGTAGATTTTGATTTTTCCCACAACCATTTGACCTTGGTGAATATCATGGCCTTGTGGTTAATTTAAATTTTCCTTCATGAAGAGCAAAAGGAAGCTTAAATCCGTGTTCAAATTTCTTTAAAAAGGGGGGAATGATGAGGACTAGTAAAGAGCTTGAAGAAAATAATGAAATATTTTATTTTAATTTGGCTTGTAATAATTTACTTAATTTTAATTTGGAATTTTAATAATTTTAATTTATAGTTAGTTAATGTTAGTTTCCTGCCATTTATTTTAGAAAAAATATGGTGTGGCTCAATATGGGTATATTAAGTGGTGTCTTATTGTTGACTTAAGTTTAGGAGAAATCATGATATAATTAAGCATTTGTAATCTCATTGAGAAAATTTTCAAATGAATTAGAATTTCCTATCATGAGAAATATGAGTGAGAAAGGACTCATCTTTTTGGTTCCTAGATTGTAACTTTTATTGAATCTCTTCAATGGATTTCTTACCATTGTGGTTACTCTTCACCAGATTATCAATATTCTAGGATATGGTTCCCTTCTTCTTCATCTTCTTAACCTCATCTATATTTTGTACTTCCTATTTTATGTGTCACTTTTTTTAAATGACCCGTTTGGTTAGATCATTCATCTCACTTGAAAGCTTCTTCTCTCACATCACTAGGGCTTCCAGTCTGCTAAGAGCCTCCTCTAACATATTTCTTTAGATGTCCCTCTTGAACAATCTGCTCGATCTCCCTCTTGAGTTGGTATCAGTCATTAGTATGATGACCATTCACCTTATGGTAGTTGCTCCATTTATCGAGTTTGAGCGTTGTCACATTTAACTTGAGGGTTGATGGAGGCGGAATAATTTGAGTGTGGTGTACTTCATGACAAATTTTCTTTAAGAGGGTGTTGTGAGTCGCAAAATTATCAACGAGCCTTCCATTTTTCTTGAAAGTTGCCTCGTCTCTAATAGAAAATGTGTAGTAGCTTCTTCCCTACAACTACAATGATTCAGTTATGCCAGAGGTGTATTCCCTAACGTGTTTCGATTTATTCTTAGTGTCTCCCTCTTCTTGCTAGATGTAAAATTCAGATCGTGCCATGATTTAGAGACTGCGGTATTTTGGGTGAGAGATTCGTTGAAATTCCCGATTCTTATGCCATTCCAAAATTCTCCCACAGATATATCTTAGTTTAGATAAATCACTTTGATGGAAACCTCACCGAAATAGGCAAGGTATTCTTTCAATAGTCGGAGTTCCTTTGGAAATAAAATTGAATAAACTAGTTATAGACAACTTTCAGTGATTACTCTCCGAAAATTGGTGTGCTAGTTTCCTAAAGAGGTCTTGATAATTGGTTACTAAAAGGTGGGGGAGGTTCATGAACCACCTTAGGGTTTCCACCTTGAAATTAATTGATATGATCTTGAACTTTAATGAATTGTATGTGCCTGTGATTGCCATTTAGGTGTTGATGGAAGTAATGTGTTCTTGGGGTCTCTCTTCTCATCAAACTTCAATATTGTCAGCGGTTTACAATTCAATAATATTGGAGATTCCAAATCTCTCTTGATAGAGGAAAGGGATCCAAAATCTCATTTTCAATATGGGAATCTTCATGTTATAACTCCTAGAGGGTTAGGATCGGAGCTATCGAAATGGGCTACTCAGCCATAAACCGGTTTGTCCTAGCAGGCCTCAGGCTTTTTAGGGTTGGGCCAAAAAAGTATTATTGTAATATGGGCTAACAAATTATTACCCTAGCCCAGCCCTAGATGGGCTTCGATCTACCCGACCCTAAACATGTTTTATTTTAATAAAAATTAAAATTAAAATCCCATAAGATTTATTATAAATGAAATTAAAAATTGTATTGTTTCAAACATAATACATTTTTAAGTTCTACATTATCTTTTATAAATATTATAATGGGTTTTTAAATACAACACGTTTCTAAATTATATAAAATAATACTTGAATGTTGAACATAAGAAAAACTAATAGAATATGAGGAAAGACTGTTGATTATATTAATGTATAAGATTTAAAAGAGAAACACTATAGAATAGAAATAAAATTTAGTGAGGTGAGAAAAATGAATGTGTTATTTTGAAGTAAGATGATATAAGTATTAATATAATTTTTTTAAAAATTTATAGTTATGCGAGTCTAATGAGCTACCCACGGTACATACAGGCTATCCCTAATGGGTAGTGAGTTTTTTTAGGGTTGGGCTAAAAAGTCCTTAAAAATATGGGTTCTAATATTAAGGCCCAAGTCTTATGAATTTTCGGGCTTGAAGGGCCGATCTATATGAACTACCTCTTTTTGACAGCTCTAAAATTTGGTTGGAACAACACAAGTTGTCCATAACATCTTACATCTCCAATAAGTGTGGTTGATGCAATTGGAAATTGGATATGAGTAAGATCTTTATTTTTTAAAAAACTTCAAACTAATTAAATAATTAAATAAGTTTGTATTACATACTAAAATGTAATAAATCCTTACAAGATACTCAAAATGATGATATCAAATACAAATATATTTATATTGGAATGAAATAAATGTATACAACATATAATGATAGGTTACCATCAAATACAATTAAATTCATACTACATATTTAAAATTATTATAGTTTGCCATCAGTTTAAAAATACTAACATTTTGAAATCAAGTTCATCATAAAAAAAACAATCAAAATAAAATTCTAAATAATTTTCAAAGGAGGAAAAAGAAATAAAAATATTGAAAAAGATAGAATAATTGTTAAAAGAAAATAAATATAAAAAAAATAAAAATATGAATTACAAACATGACAATCTGAAACAGGGGTTAGAAGAATGGTGGTGGTGATTAGAGCAATAAAAGAGATGGAAATAGAGACAGTGAGCGGTGAAACTTAAGGTTTGAGGTGAGCGGCGAATCGTATCTTAGGGTTTGGTGTAATTTATGAAGGAATGAAGTGAAGTGAAGCAACACATGTGTGCTATGTTGTGTTAGACCAACTCTTCGTAGAATTTTAACATGAGATGTTGTATACATCGTTTTAGTTAATTGGTTTTGTGGTTTTTAAAATGAAAATCGAGAACCAAATAGAATAAGTTTAGTTTTATTGGTTTGATTTGACTTTTAAACTAATATATAATATATTTATTTTTTTGAATTTGGTTTGGTTTAAATTTTCAATTTATTTGATTTTGTCTGATCTGATTCATCCCAAGTAGTACATACAAAAACAAAATCATTCCTAGCCTTTTCGATATACTAAACCACTGTATAACAAACTATAAGAAAACCACCTTTTAGTTTAAGAAACCCAACAAAAAATAAAAGAACTCACAAAATTATTATTGGACTTTTTTGTACAAGTCATAATTGGATTTTAATGATAAAAAAGGAAATGGTAAAGATTGTCAATTTTATTATTATTATTATTACTCGCGTCCAGACGGGCACTCGCGTGCCCGTCTATCCGCTTTTTTATTGCACACATATAAATATAAATGATATATTTTTATTTAATATTAATTTTATATGGAAGTTATGTGGGAAGTTATTAGTAGGGAGTTATATGAAAGATGATAGTAGTAGTTCAATGGAAGTTATTGTATAAGTTATATATTTTAAAATAAGGGTAAATTTGGTATAAAAAAAAGCTACACCAAAAACCAAGTATTGCCTTTATATATGTTATAGATTTTTTTTTTGAATAAAAAAAGCAATATATTAATTCAAAAAACCGTCAATTACAAAGCTAGGTGATTCAGGGTGGATCCAATCGACCAAAAGGACTTAAAATTACATCATAAAACTAATAAGATGTTTTCTAATCTTAATGTTTTGCCACCCTCTATAGATCACATTATCTATGATTTTAGTATCCATGGTTGTATTATCTACAATATTTCCAAAAGTTTTACTATTCCTATACCTCCAGATGTTGTATATGGTTTCAGCTACTAACATCTTCAAAACATCAACTTTCCATCCCTTTCCCTTTGTTATATTGGTGATCCAAACCAGCTCTGCATCCCATGGTTGAGGTTCGTGATAAATGTTAAACCATTTGAGCACTTCCTTCCATATGTGTCTTGTCTCTTGACAACAGAAGAATAGATGATTCATCATTTCTTCCCCGGAATGACATAAATTGCAGCTGCTATCCTCAATCATCCCAAATTGTTTCAACCTGTCTTTGGTCGCAAGCTTTCCGTGACAAGCTTGCCATAAGCAAAATACTGCTCGCGGCCGCCCCCTGTTGGATTTTATCAATTTTCTCCAAAGCACCCTTGTGCCATCATCAATCAGCAACTTATAAAATACTGAGGCTTTAAACTTGTGCGTATTCATGCCTTGGTCCCATTCATTCCGGATACCCTCCATGTTATCTCGTTGTTTCAAAATGCCGCGTATAATCCAAGAATTGTGTGCTTTGGTTTCATAATTCATCACACTTTTATCCTTTAGGTAGTGACTATGGACCCATTTAACCCATAAAGTATCAGTTTTGTTGCACAGATTCCATAAACATTTCAGGAGCAGCACATTGTTCCATACCTAAAGATTCAGCAGATTCATCCCACCCTGTGCAGTCGGGCAGCAGGTGCGTTTCCATGCTACAGGGCATTTTATGCTTATCGTATCCTTACCGGTCCAGATGAAGCTTTGACTGATGGTGTCTATTTTTCTGATCACAGATTTGGGCATAGGGAGGTATTGCATCCAGTATTGCAACATTGCAGCAGATATACTTTTCACTAACTGTATTCTTCCTGCATAGCTTAGGAGTCTAGAGGACCAATGATGGATTCTAGCCACAATTTTATCCATCAAAGGCATAAAATGGTTGATGGTTAGCTTCTTGCTAGACAGTGGGATTCCTAGATATTTGAACGGTAACGTTCCTTCTTGGAAACCCGGTAGCTCTTTCAAGGTCTTTCTGCTCTCATTATCCAAACCTCCAAAATAGATTTTGCACTTGTTAGGGTTCATTATCAAACCTGTGGAATTGGAGAAATCTCTGAAAGAATTTAAAATCATTTGCATTGATATGTCATCTCCTCTACAAAATAGCAGCACATCATCTGTAAAAGTGAGGTTGGTGATTTTCAGCTTCTCGCATTTGGCATGGTAGTTGAAATTAGGATCTCTTTGCATTTTCACCAACAGCCTGTTCATGTATTCCATTATGAGGACAAAGAACATAGGTGATAAAGGATCACCCTGTCGAATCCCCCTTTTGGCCTGTAAAATATCAGTGTATTCCCCCATGATGTTAAATATGTAGGACACAGTGGTGATGCCTAGCATAGTCCATTGAATGAATTTGTTAGGGAAGCCCATTTCCTTCATGATACATTCTAAAGCACTCCAATTAACCATATCGTATGCTTTTTGCAGATCTATTTGCAGCATGATTCTAGGTGTGCCCCATTTTCTTGTGTATCCCTTAAGAAGCTCAGTTGCAAGCATGATGTGGTTATGTATGTTCTGGCCTGGTACGAAAGCTTCCTGATTGTGACTTACCACACTAGGAAGGACAGATCCTAGTCTATCAGTCAGAATCTTGGAGATGATTTTATAGAAAGTGGTACAAACAACTATAGGTCTGTAGTCTTTTATTTCACAAGCATTATGGCCTTTTGGAATCAGGGAAACTACAACACTGTTGAAAGCTTTATATATTTTACCTGTTTCAAAGTATTCCTCAACAGCTGCTATCACATCAGTTTTTATAGTTGTCCAGCTGGCCTTGAAGAATTTGGCTCCATAGCCATCCAGTCCTGGTGCTTTTAGGTCTCCTATCCCTCTAAGGGCTTTGGTAAAGTCAGCTTCTGATATGGTTCTGGTGATGTATTCCCTTTGCTCAATGTTAAGTTGCCTTCCCATCCTCATGGCTTCAATATCAATATGGCTAATGTTGTTAATATCTTTGCCCATTAAGTTTCTGTAGAAATTAATCACTTCCTCTTCAATGTTTGTTTTGGTTGTTATCTGCCTGCCATCACTCTTCCTCAGATTGGTAAGGCAGTTGGAGTGATGTCTGCCTTTGATAGAAGCACAGAAATATTGATTATTTCCATCTCCTTTTCTAATCCAGTCAATCTTTGCCCTTTTTTGTAGTATTTTCCATTCCAGCTCGTTCAGGGAAATCACTTCCTCAGTCAGATCTTTTGTCTCCTCAATTAAGGTGTTGTTCATTCTGTCCTCACTCAGTTTTCCTTGTGTTTCTTTAAGGTTGGCCCTGACTGACATCAGCTTGTTATTAATATCAGACAGAGGTTTGCTTAAATGTTTTAGTTCATGCTTCAATCTCTTAAGTTTGTGCCAAAGAACATACATTGGGCTACCCCTAATATGACCATCCCAATTCTTCTTGATCAAAATATCGTAACCTGGCAGTTCAGTAAGGCAGTTGCTAAACTTAAAGTGTTTGGATGGTTTCCTCTGTTCTTGTTTATATTCCAGATATAGCAAGGCATGGTCAGAAATATTAGGTGGGAGAATTTTCAATAAGGTCTCCATATTGTCGAGAAACCAGTCAGTATTGCCCAAAACTCTATCATTCCTTGAGTAGATGGGTCCAGCTGCTTGTTTATTGGACCATGTGAAATGATCACCAATGCTATCCATTTCACTTAAACCTGCATTCCCCATCATTTTTTGCAGGTCTTCATATTCCCTTTCAGTCACTAGATTTCCTTCCATTCTGTCCTCGGCTTTTGTTACATTAGTGTAGTCACCAACAGCACACCAAGGTCCTTGGATGTTACCAAACAGGTGTTCTATTTCTTTCCATAGGATTCTTCTCTTGTTTAGTTGGTTATGAGCATATACAGCAGTTAGCTAGTGCTTGAAATCTCCAATGTTATCATAAATACCACAATGTTATGAGCATATTATTATTATTATTATTATTATTATTATTATTATTATTATTGTTATTATTATTATTATTATTATTATTATTATTATTATTATTATTATTATTATTATTATTATTATTATTATTATTATTATTATTATTATTATTACTAGTATCATCACTATTATTCTTATTATTATTATTATTATTATTATTATTATTATTATTATTATTATTATTATTATTACTAGTGTCATCATCATCATCATCATTATTATTATTATTATTATTATTATTATTATTATTATTATTATTATTATTATTATTATTATTATTATTATTTTACTGTTATTATTATTATTATTATTACTAGTGTCATTATTATTATTCTTATTATTATTATTATTATTACTACTACTACTATTATTCTTGTTATTATTATTATTATTATTACTAGTATTACTAGTATCATTACTATTATTATTATTATTATTATTATTATTATTATTATTATTATTATTATTATTATTATTATTATTATTATTATTATTATTATTATGACTATTATTATTATTATTATTATTATTACTATTATTATTACTATTATTATTATTATTATTATTATTATTATTACTATTATTATTATTATTATTATTATTATTATTATTTGATCGCGACTTTCTATGTCTAATACAACTAACTGCAAGTGCACAGTCTATCGCGTAGTAATAAAAGATATTGATCCCACAGGGACTCGTAATCAAACTAGTGTTCTCGGGAGTTACTATGTTTAGCTAGGTAGAATATGTTTTAAGGGAATAAGGTTGTCACTAAAAGGGGAACTAAGATTACTGTTTGGATTTTTAATTAATTAAATCGATACGTAGTAATTATGTTCTTCAGGGACTTGATAAGTTACTGGTGTATGAAATAGTTTTCACAGTTCATTTAAGCAGAAAACGGAGATTTGAAGACTCTCGTCTCACAATGGTTATTGACGCTAATCATAATCCTAAGGGCCTAACGTACACTTTCGTGTTCCGTTCGGGGTTAAAATTACTTTTTGGAAATCTCTAAGTTCTAATTCGTTTTAAAGTGCTTTCGCTGTTATTAAAACAAATGCCTAGTGTTTACTATCTGACCTTACCGCAGCTTTCGCTTGTTGGTTCGTATCTTAATTAATTTCCCACTTTCGTGGCAAAACTACTTTAAAATAAGTTCTCGCTTTCGCGACGAAGTTTATTTCGTAAATCAATTTTAAACACTTAGACCATAAGTTATTTTTGTGAAAAGAAAGTTTTCAAACAAGAGTTATCAAGTCCCATTCGAATTATTACTACATATCGATTACCTAAGTTTACTAGACATGGAATTTAGAAAAGCAGAACATAAATAATAAATTGCATTATGATAAGATAGAAGTCGATCAAAATGAAAACCTGTAAATAATGCCAATTGGCCTTTGGGTAGATCCTCCACAAATGTTGGCAGGATTCTGTCTTTAGTTCCAATTCGATCGTACAGTGCAGTAACAATTACAGAAGAGCGGAAATGGGAATGAGTAAAAATGGAAAGGGAAATAAAGGAAAGGGATACAAGTAAAACTGGAGAAATGGATACAAATAATAACTGAAAGTAAATTTGCTGGAAAGTAAATTTGGCAGCACTTCGTGGTATGAATGTCGCTCCCTTTTTGAAGTCCCCTGCTTCCCTTTTTATAGAGGTGGAATTCCAACGGTTACCTCTGGGGATGATGGACCTTGAGGCAGATAATTTAGGGAGTAGTGGACCATTTAATGGGAATTGGAACTGCTCTTTTGACGTGTAATCTGAGTGGGGCGTTTTTGCCTGCATGACGGTCGTCACAAGGTGTGACGGTCGTCACCCGTGTGACGGTCGTCATGCATCTGTGACGGTCGTCACATCAGCAAAAACTGTCTGCTGCGCTTTTCATTGTGTTTTCACTCCTTTTTCGTCCATATTTCATCTGGGATTGCTTCTTTTCTTCATGTTGCCTTGTTTAGACGTGATCGTTGAATACCTGCAAAAACATCAGACAAATACATGGAAATAGCCCGAAATCGGATCGAAAACGGTTAGCTTTTAGTTGAATTATGCATGAAAATATCTATATGATTTCGTGTTATCAAACTCCCCTAAGCTTGAATCTTTGCTTGTCCTCAAGTAAAACGTGGAAAAGTCGGCAAGCACGAGGCTGCTTCGTTCGCAGAGTTTGGAAAAACCGGGATTCTTGGTAGGAACAAGACGAGTATCACGACGACACTGGACTACAAGTCTCCGGAGGTCTCCCTTTTATGCAAATCGGTCTCAGTCATGCTACTGTATCGTGGTGTCAAGGTTCTCGTGGCAATTTCACCCTGTTTGTTCTAGCGCAATCACATTAAGCCCGTTGTCCGCACACTCTCATGGCAAGTCGACCTGTTAGTGAATACGATCTCGTTTTTGTTTTTGATCTTCTTCATTGATCATAATTTGGTGTCATTGATTTTTCAATGGGTTTTTCGTGCCGTTGGGCTAGATGCTCGGGTGAGGAGCACCTAACTTAGAAGGAAATGTATCTTATATTCTTGGGCTTTTTTAGCTCTCTTTTCATGATTTTTCATCTTTTTTGGAGATCATACACTTATTTGCATCGGTCGCTCGCTTAGAGGTGTTTTTAGGATGGTGCTGACTGCTAGTATAAACTACTTGGGGTTGAGCTTGCGTAGACACTTGAGACTTTGGTACACGTAGGCGGTGAAACCGACTCGCATAAACTAGAGATCTAAGGTGTCTGGACGATACTGGTTTTGTTAGAACTGTCGTTTCCTCGGAGTTTCAAAGCTCGGTTTGAACTCAGGCGCATTCTCGTGATGCTTTTGCTTTTGAGTAACCAATGAAAGTTTTTGTTTACGTTGAATAATGTGGGGATAGTTTGCGTAATGTGAAAAAAATATATAGACGCGCTTTATTTGCTAGAAATAGAAAAGTGTAAAAATAGATATTACCAGAATTCAAAGTGCAGTGAAATGGAAATACAGGAAATAAGGGAATGTCAGAATACAGTGGAAATAAGGCTCCGCTCCCACACTATCTCGATCAGTGTCCTCACTGATTCTTGAAGCATGCGAGAGGGAGATACAACTGAAAATGAAAATACAAAGAACTGAAATATAGTAAACAATGAAGGAAAAAATAAAAATCTAGTCCCGGGGCCTGTCACGTCCACGCTGGCGTCCTCTGGCTCTAGCAAGGGCGACTCTATCCTCATAGCTCATGGCTCCGGTGTGGTAGACCGTGTCTCGGAGTCCTTCGACCTGCAGGGTCAGATTCGCTAGACTCTCAGTAATCGTAGCTTGGCCGGTGTGAAGTTGTTGCATTTGAGTCCGGTGCCAAGCTTCGAACTGGTCAGCGCGCTGGTTCTGCTGCTGCAGCATCGTGAGTATCTGTGCCTGCTGGTCTAGGGAGCGACGGAGGTCCTCTTCGGTGTAGTCGGGCACGGGATGGTGACGGCGGCGGCGGGATGATGTACCTACTGGAGGAGGAGGCTGCGATGCCTCTGGCTGCTCGGACCTGTCCAACTCAGCTTGGATTTCATCTTCGGAATCATGTGTGGGGTCCTGAGTAGGAACAGCGGTAGCAGGAGGGGCAGTGAGGTCGAACAACCAGTTGGTACGGTCCTCTGGATGGATGCGGGTGCGGGACGGAAGGATGATGCTTCTGACGGTCTTGCCACGCACAACCGGATGATATTTCCCGTCAGCTCGGGAGCGGATGAGATGGGAGGCCCTGCAATGGTCGGTGTCAAGGAACACCGAGGGGATGGACTGGAGGTGCTGGAGGCGGTCGCCAAGGTTCAGCCCAAGTGCAATCGCCGTGACAATCCCGCCAAAGTAGAATGGCTTCGAGCCACGGTTGCAGTTGGCCTGAATGTGAGCCAGCAGGAACGGGGCGGCGTTGACCGGTTCATTGTTGAAGACGCAATGCAGAAAGAAGAGCTCCTTGGAGTTCACCTTATGATTGCTGTCTCTGGCGAAGATAATGTTACTCAATGCCCGGTGAAAGTATCTGATGGCGGGGTTATGGATGTGAGTGGCATGCAGGGAGTCCCAACCATCGACATTGAGGCCGGTCAACTCATACCACAACGCGAAGGCTTCGTGCTGGAACTGGTCAGTGAGGCGGCGATGAGCGTTGTCGCCGCGGGGTAACTGTAGGATGTTGGCGATTTGATTCTGATTCATTTGATAATTAACGCCAAACATTCGGAAACAAGCGGCACCTGTGTGCTGGTTGAGTTCGCCGCTCCTGGTGATGTACGAGAACGAACTCAGGAACTCAAGGGTGAGTTGTTCGTAGGTCGGTTGGGGGTTGGAGCAGAGGTTCCAGATGCCTGCTCGTTGAAGCATCCAGGTTACACCTTCGAGGAGTCCGAGCTTCGTAAGTGATGGAAGGTGGGGGTAGTGAGTTGGCTGAAGTGACCTCTGATGAAATGCAATGTACTGTGCTCGTTGTCTCTCGCCTAACTCGCCCTCAGGGAAGGAAATGTTGCTGATATCTGCGTTTCCGGCCATTGTTGAAGATGGAGAGATTTCGGAGGTTTTGGGATTTTTCGGAAGAGAGGGAAATGTGACAGAACGGTGGTTTGGAGGTTGGAGTTGAGGTTTATAGTTCAGTTGGGGAGAACGAAAATCGTAGTGGGGTATGAGTTTTGGAAGTTTGAAAGTGATAATGGGGGGAGTGGAAGGGAACACGACCCCTGCTATATCAGATTGCAGTTCTGGGTTGCGTGACGGTCGTCACAAAGGTGTGACGGTCGTCACCCGTGTGACGCTCGTCATGG